CAACTGCTTTTGCAGAAAAACTTGCCAGTCTAGACACAGCCAGAGGCTATGTCTAGACTGCAGGGTTTTTTCAGAAGAAGCTTTTCCGGAAGAGCTCTTCTGAAAAAACTTCTTCCAAAAGAGAGCATCCACACTACCAAAGTGCATCGAAAAAGTGATCTGCTTTTTCAAAAGATAGCGTCCACACTGAATGGTCACTATCTCGCATTTAAGCTGTGATTACTATGGATGGAGTGGCCACCAGGGCACCTGTGCTTTTTCTTCTTTCCTCTTCTTTCAAAGGAACTCCCTCTTCTCCATCCACACACACCTTTTTCCGAAAGAGCTCTTTCAGAAATGTTGGCAAAACCTCTCTGTTCTTTTGATTTTTTTTTTTCAAAAGAACTCGATTATAGTGTGGATGTAAGTGAAGTTTAGACATAGCCGAAAAGGTCTTCAGAGGAGAAACTGGGTAAAAGATAAATCTCATCATCACTATACTGAATTATGGTGATTTTAGCCTTTTTGTCATGGGTGAATCAAATGAGTTCCATAGCTTGCAAAACCTCCCCCCTCCTGCAGCTAATGTAAAAAAAGGGCCGAGTTTTCTAAAGTTCTCCAGACTTTGAACTGCTAGAGTTTGGCCTTCGGCAGCAGCTGTTCCACTCCAGGCTCTGAAAGTTCTTTGCTGCTTTCTCCTGGGCCCTTCCATTTCCCAGCTTCTGGACTGGCCAACCCCTTTTACCTGGTCAGCAGCCAAATTTCTCCTGCCTCCTCCAGATCAGTCACAGACTGTAACAAAGAAGAAGGTGCTGCTCCTGTACTTTCTCATCCTGCCCTGCAGATCAGAGATGCCTCCCATAGCAGGTATCCTACTCCTGCCCATGGCCACTGCAGTGAAAGAATTAGAGAATGAGTACAGGCCTATGTGGAAAAGGCCAGTGAGGATGTGGCCCGGTCAAAGAGAGCATGACAGGTATATGGGATAAGGGGGCCTGAGAAGAGGACTAAAGAGGTCCATATAGTAGCCTTATGGGGTGGGTGATGAAACAGAGAGACTCTGAGGGCCATCGGGCAGGGAGTTGTATGTGTGTGTATCTTACAGAAATGCCCAGAAAATGGAATAAGAGATGCACCGAAAGGCCTATGAGGGAGGACTCAGAGAACAAGAAAGAGGTTATGGGATAGCTCATGAAAATTCAAAAAGGAACTGGGTCTTGGGAGACCCAGGGGTATTTGGAGAGTTCTTACTATCCCAGAAAGGGTATGGGTGGGGTGGGTGTAGAATCCAGAAAAGAAGGTCCCAGTAAGTGGTGGTACATGGGCCTATGTGGGCCGATAGATATGTGTGTGTTTTTTGTGGAGTGAGTAATGAGCATGGGTAGATAATGTTCATGCCCATGACTTTCTCCCTGTGGTGGTACTTATGAAGTGAAAGATATTGGTTAGAGCTGAAAAATATTAGGAACAGAAGAATAGCATCTTCCAAAGCAGAGTTTGAAATTATGGGACACTAGAAGGAATGGACAGGAGCACTAGTGCTTAGGAAGCATTACTCATTCTAAAATGCAACATGTCCAGATAAGCTCTATTGCAGTGGCATTACACTGGTGTTAGACCAAGACTGGGTCCTGATTACTAAACACAGGTCCTCCACCTGCTCTGTATCTGTATCACCATGTATCTAGTCAAGACAGACAAATGAAAATTAAACTAAGTGGTTTATTTATAAATCTAAGGAACAAACATAAATTAAATCTAGTTGTCATAAAATCAAGGCTGAAAAACCAGAACCCCGTAACAGAACAACCCTACTACCATCCCAACGTTGGGGCTGGAAAGGTAAGTGGATGCCTTCGGACTGAAAAACTGCAGCGGAGGCAGGAACGGGCTACAGGGGCCCTCTTCCTTGATCTTCAGTCTTCTATTCTTGACACTCCGTCCTGAGTGTGGTATGTGGACCCTCAACCAAATGGATAGTGTGCATGCGTGTAAGACTCGTCTCATTATGAACCCCAAACTAACAAACTAAACCCCATGCCAACAGTCACTACGCTGGATATAAAATACAACTGACTTCTGCCTAAGCAATCTAAAAGGCCAAACAGCCTACTGGCTATCACCCTAGCACTGTTTTGCTCAAGCATCCTAAAAGACCAAGCAGTCTGCTGGCTGCTGCCCTAGCAATGCTGACTGGCTTCTGTCTCAGAGGCCTTCAAGGCCTGACAGTTGATACCTGTCACCCTAGCACCATTTAGCTGTGCTGCTGACATGCACGCAGAGAGCCCTGAAGGGAGGGTGAGCGCCTCCTATAAATGCTTTGGTTGCTGGGCTGATTAGAGTCACGTGCCCAGTTTCCCCTGCCTCTACCTTCCTCCTGACAGGAGATGGTGACCAAGAAGCTAGCTGCCATCTTAAAGAGAGAACACAAAATGGAGGGCAGAGGATACAAAATGGAGCACATATTAAAAAAAACCTCAGCACTCCTCCCCAACACTTGTGCCCCCACAATTGGCACCTCTCCCACAAAGATTTCAGATATTTGTGCACGTTTCCTCTCCCACAAAGATTTCAGATATTTGTTTGTGCACGTTGGTAAGCTAAAGGTATGGGCTACTAGATCACTTTTCTACAGTGTCCTTGCAACAATTGCCAGCTAGTCCAAGAAGATAGCAGGCTAGGCCAGACTGCTATGGTGACAACATGGAGTAACCTGGGAGAAGGGAAATTCACAGTTATCTTTTTCTAGTGATTCCATCACTTTGGATGGGCTTCTGGTAACAGGGGCTGCAGGTAGAGGCAGTTGCATTGGTGAGGAAAGTCACTGAGAAATGGAGTAAAATGGCAGGTTAAGTCAGGCAGCACAAACACACCCTCTTTGAGAAAGCTGGAAGGAATGCAGACTGAGGACACAAGATCCTCAGGCTGCCATAAAAATAAGTCCAGTAGCTTCCAATTTGTGGAAATTCAATTTGTTGAATGTTTCTGGAAGTCTGTGAGAGGAAATTCTTCCAGGCAAAAGCTCTCTGCTCTGGAGAGCAACAAGCCTAAACAGCTGTAGTTGGAGGCCAAGTAAATGGAGGGTTAGAGTGCAGTGCTGCAGCATTCCAGGGAAGTGAGTCTGAACTCAGAGTAGTACGTGGGTGAGGACAGCCTAAACTATGGTGGAATGAGCAGTTCTGACACTATGAGTGATGTCCAGGGCAGTGGATGAGAAATATTTGTTTATGGATGTCACTTATAAGTAATGCTTTACCTTGCTTGCCAAGTCTGAGAAGTTCTGGTTTAATTAAAAAATCATTAAAGATGTATTTCTACAAAGTTCATCTTCTCACAATCTTCCTACTGTGACTTATTCTTCTATTACTCTTTTTTAAAGACTGGGCCTCTTCTTTTCTAGCCCTCCTCTCTGGCATTTTTTTCCTCCATTTTTTTTTCTGATTCTCTTCATTTTAATTCCTTCTCAAATCTACTCTTTTATTCTGTTCTCAATTATACCAATGGTAATGACATCTTCTCTCTTCCACCAGCTGTTATGTGTTTGTATTACTGGTGACTGAAATCATGAGTATTCTGAGCTATTACCCTTACTCTTCAGTTTGGATACAAGAGTCTATATAAGTGTAACTGTATCATTATAAATAAAGATTAAAATAAGCACCAGGTATTTTCAGTTGATCACAACAATGGAATCACATTCACAGTATTGTGTAATTTGGTTGGTGAAGTCCAGGACTTGGAACGCTTGACAGTATTTCACTGTTTGAAAAGTTATTGTTTCTTCAGCTGCAGCCACATTCATCTCCCTAGGAAGCTTGCCAGTTTCAAAGGAGAATGTGGGTGGTGCACATTTGAACTGTGTTTTTAGTAGCAATGTGATCTTTTGTATCTGCGGACTCCTCATGAGAAATAGTAATTAAACTCCTACTCAGTGTACACTCAACCGCAGTGACATGTGTTCCCCTTACTCTGTAAATGACAGCTACTCCTTCAACATTAACTCCAATGGAGAATAATAAAGCTCTGTATATCGAAATACACTGAATGCACCTTTTGCAATAGTATCTATGTTCCAATCTGTAGGATAAAGCACTGAGGGGTACATATATAAGGCAGTGGAAGCAAAAGAAAATTCTTACAACTATTGCCTTCAAGGCTACAAGCCTATAGTATAGGTTTGTATTTTATGACAAGAAAAGTCAAACTCTTACATATTCATCCATCCAAAATCGTTGTATTAAACACAATTGAGTCCAGTAATGATGTGCAATACATAATAAATAAATTGCTAAATGGGAGAGCAGATCTACTATATATTTGAGAAAGTTTGTGTATCTGTTCAAGAACGCCTCATAAATGGTAAGAGCTAGGACTACTAGATTCAGTATATAGCCTCCTCTTTTCATAACTTAAAACAAGGCAAAGGTTTGGTTATGCCAGGCAAATGGGATGTGCCTGGAATGGGATTGCTTCTCATAAAACCATATAAAAAAAAGAGACAGAATCACCAGTCAGGTGAAATGGGCTAGCTGGGGGTGCTCCCCTCCCATCTGGGACTGCCCCAACCCTGAACCTCCCAACCCTCAGGTACCCTTTAAGAAGGGAGGGCTGAAGCTTTCCTCCCAGATTCATACTGGGACATTGCTGGTTGTTCCCCTTCATCATAGCGTGAGGGAAAAGTGCATAGTTTGCTGCATTTCTCTCTCTAGCTGGGAAGCCGAGGGAGCAGATGAGCTGTGTATTTTGCTTTCACTCCCTGACAGGGACAGGAAGGGGAAGAGAGCACGCAGGCCTGGTACAAATCTCAGGGGACAAGGGACTTCTGCCCCACTGCTTTCCCCACCCTTTTACTACACATAGACACACACATACTCCCCTGCCCAGAGCCCCTCCTCCTACCCTATTCCTGACTCCTGCACCTTTTCCCACATAACCAAGCCCCCTACTTAAGGACCTGAGCAAAGCCAGGTAAATGCTAGTTATGAATGAAGCAATGAAGAAACCAAGAATGGTGCATCACATAATATTCTCTTCGCATATTTACAATATGCCTTCCTCCATGGGCAATAAACAGTAACAAGTAGTAAAAATAGCGGAGTCTTAGTAAATAAAGACCTCTCTCCTTTCCCTGTCCTTGCTTCTTTTTAAGATTGTTCCATGATTCTAGCTTTTTTTTGTCCCAAGTGGTCCTCTAGATCAGCTTTCACTTCAAAACATGGCAACTGTGAATTGTTATACAGAAAGACAGATATACATACTTTTATAAAATCAATTAATTGTGACCAGTATTGTCCTGCATACATATAAATAATGTATTGATGAATATCTCAGAGCCTTAAAGCAAAGGAAAAGGTTCCCTCCGGTACCCCCTTGCCAACCAGAAATAGATAAGGTCTCAGTACTACAAACAGTTAGGCATGTATTGACCTTCATTTGCACTTCATAGTTGCAGCTGAAAATATACTTTTTATATTAGGCTTTTATACTATTGACCATCACTGTATATATCTGAGGGCAAAACATGGATGTTGTCTCTACTCCAGCAATACCAAAAATAGCACCAATCATTGGACGTGCTAAGGAGAATGATGATAACAATACATTGGTGAACACAGAAAAAACTTCCTGATTCTCCTTGCTAGAAAATATAACAATCACTGGTTTGATCAAAAGAAATAATAAATACAGTAAATTACATATGATGTTAACTACAAACTTTTTAAAGGAGTCTAATAAAATGTTTACCATAAAATTTGCTGTAATAGTTTTGCTTTGAAAAATAATTAATTAAATGGGTTAGTCTTGCAATAACTTTTCAACAGCTATAAAACACTGAAGATTAGTGATAGAAATGTAGCCGTGTTAGTCTGGGGTAGTTGAAGCAAAATGCAGGACAATGTAGCACTTTAAAGACTAACAAGATGGTTTATTAGATGATGAGCTTTCGTGGGCCAGACCCACTTCCTCAGATCAAATAGTGGAAGAAAGTAGTCACAACCATATATACCAAAGGATACAATTAAAAAAAAGAACAAATATGAAAAGGACAAATCACATTGCAGAACAGAAGGAGGAGGCGGGGGGGTGGGAAGGGGGAGGCATCTTGTTAGTCTTTAAAGTGCTACATTGTCCTGCATTTTGCATAAAACACTGAGGCACTTGTCATGCAATCAGACAGAGGCAGCCTTGCATTGTACTCTTCAAAATTCTACTAGTGAGTTTCACAAAAGCAATTTCTAGTCTCTTGGTTACAGAGGATAGGAATTTCCTCTTTAATTTGGCTCAGGAGTTTCTTAAATGTTATGATTCCAAAAGTGTCCTCAACATGTTGATGAAAGCTAAAGTCAAGGAAATTATAAAATAGCATCGTTTCTAATGCATTTACTGGCATCTGGACCTAATTCTTAAACAAATCTGTAAAATAGCCATATTGGATTTAATCCATAGCCTGTAATTGCTGGAGGCTCTTCAGGGCACCTCTTTATGGGAACAAATAGGGATTATGATCCTTCAAAATGTATATAATGAGACATCAATTATCTTTGATGGGCTGGACACCACTTGCATTCCTAGGACTCATGTCTATAAACATTTACAATACAGGCATTAATTAACATAAATTACTAATTTTGCTCCATTAGTTGACTAAGATTTTAAGATTAGAATGATTTGTTAATCTATTTGAATACAAAGAAAATGTCAGTCTTATTCCAATGTGTATAAGTTATCAGTGCATATTGTATAATAAGAATAAAGTAGAGAAGCATTTTGAGAACATAGTATAGCTCCTGATAGCTTGGTCCATAATGTGAAATGACATTAAGTGGTCCTTTTACAGTATTCACTGTATGCTTTGGATTACAGGAAAAATATATAAAATACATGCACAGAACAGTGATTTCTGTTCCATATAAATTGGTGGCTTCATGAAAGTTGTTTTGAGCTAATGAATTCCAAAGTTCAGGATTGTTGTGGTTGGACACTACAGATGTTGTAAATATGTGTAAAGTTTTCTTTATCAATGAGTTTGCAGTATCAGTGATCCATCCTAAATTCATTTAGCGAGTTATAATAAATACCTTTAACAGATAGTCCCCAACTTACAAACAAGTTACATATCAAGCAATTGGTCGTAACTCGATCTGTTCGTAAGTCGGACCCCATTCATTTACATGTGATTGCGCTGTTCGTAAGCACAGATCGCGCATTCGTAACTTGGGGACATGCTTAATGGGAGGTTGGTCATAAGGACGAACGGTCATAAATTGATGCGTTCATAACTCGGGGACTACCTGTATATAATTGGCTCTACAATTAAAATTTAGCATTGCCTTATCCACAGCTAAAATTGTATTTATGCAACATTGGAGGAAGAGGATTATGATGTGAATAAGAGAATGGATGCCTTGATGCAAGTCGACCATCAGAAAAAGGCTATTTGGAGAGATGGCCCTGGAAAGAAAATATGGAAGACTTGTTTTGAGTTTTAACTCTCCAGGGACCTGCAAAGTGCTGAGTACCCTCAGCTTTCATTGCCATTTTCACTGTTCCACACAATTTTCAATTAAAAAAGGTAAAGGTAAACTCCGTTTCTTCTAACATCAGCACAGCAACATTTGTTTATAATATGGGAAATGAGGCTTTGAAACTGTTTTAATGTGAATGTCACAGATTGCATGCCACACAGAAAAAGAATAGAACCATAAGCCATAAGGGGTGTTTGCAGGGGAGTAACAAAGGTGGGTATCCAATGCTTACTTCTAGAGCTGATTGGAATCTAGAATTCTTGTTCCATGAGAAATTCAGGTATTTTGATTTTTTTTTATTCCAAAATGAGAACCGAAAAAAAATTTTTTCCATGGTATAAAATTCAAAAGTTTTGTTTTGGAAAACAGCATTTCATTTCAACCTTTTGAAAATGTTTATCTGGGATAAATTAAAAATCATGGTTTAACTTTATCAGCTTAGCTTTTACATTACAACATAATGTATATCATAATAAAAATTCTGAAAGGCTTAGATGTATAAATGACATAATAGTTGAAATAATTGACTTATAATTCATTTTTATTTTATATTACAAATTGGAAGTTGATTTTAAAATCGGTATTCTGACTGGTTAATGGTACTGTAATTGGGAAGTAATATTTTAATTGGTTTGGTAATTGGTATTCTAATTTATCATTGGTAATTGCTCTTCTAATTTAAGTAATTATACACACTCACGGTGCATAGCAAGAGAGGGTAATATTGTAAAAACTGACTTCATTATTCTTTTTGCTTCCTTGTTAGCAGCATATCACGGATCATTTCAACACAGTTTTGATTCATGGGCTTGTTTGCATCAGATGTTTAATGCCTAGGAGAACACAAAACATTGTTCTTGCAAATATCTTAATCAAATAGTATCTATTAAATATTATTTGAAATGTTTCAAATTTGTTTTTTATTAATAAAGTAAGGAAATAACTATAGCACTCAGCACTCATGTATAAGCCCTCAGCATTATTATAATTGTTCATATACTGCGATAAACCTATTTTTGCAGGGGAAAATTCCTTATTTTCAAAGAAAAATTTCAACTATTTGGCAAAGTATTGAATGCCCGTGATTATGTTTGTTTTTATGTTTACTCAGGTAAAGTAAAAGTTTAGTGTTCTGTCAAACCAAGATATCAGAGGCATAGTCAGTCAGTGGGTTTTGAGGAGATCTGCAGGGCTCTCAAGATAAAGCAGTCAAGATCCCTAACATTTATAGGCAAGTGTCCCATAAAGAAGATTAGAGGGATAAAATGCTGTCCTAGCAGCCCAGACAAATCAGCGTTGAAGAATGTGTGTGCCCAAGAAGGACAAGTCATGACACAGGCACTGTTGGCTGATTACATAATTTAAGCACATCCATCTACATCTCTTACCACACACTAACATCCTACATGTTATAACTACAGCTGGTGTGGATGGGTTCTCCTAAAGCAGCTCTTCCTGCATCCGCCCCACTCTTCCTTCATGCCTGTCAGTGATTATGGAGTATTTGCAGAGTGGGGAGAGTTCTGTCCCCTCCTCTTTACCTGGTTTAGGTCAGTGACTGAGCAGCAAGTGGGAAACTGGGAATTCCAGTTGCTGCTCCATGGCTTCCCACTCCACTGATGATGCTTATGGGGACTGCAAAAACTCCCCCATTGTTCTTTTTTCCTAAACACACCTCCTCGTTCTTTTTTTTAGCCAAACAATAAAGCTGGCCAATGAGCTTCTGAGGAGCTCTGTACATTTACATTTGTTGACATGTTGCTGAGCAACCTCTGGAAGACAAAAGGGAAACTCCCATTACCATAGCAACAGAAAATGCTAACCTTTCAAGCCCAGAAAGAGAGAAGGGGCTGTGCTGCTGCTAGTTCTTTGCCAGTTCCTGAATGCCCACAGGGGGGATCAGTATGTGGGGGATTAGGTGCTGAAATCACAAGGTAAGTGTGAAAAAATTACCCATGCCGAGCAGGAAAAGGGTGTTTTGTTTTGTGTTCTAAATCTGCTGTTTAAGTTGCATGGTTTTTTCTCTTTTACAGAGATAAACCTGAGGATCAGAAAACTCCTAGTCTTGGGAAAGTTGGGATCTGGATCCAAACTTTGCAGCACGCCCCTTTAAATCACAATAAGTATTTAGAATAAAGTCATTGATAGGTTTGTTTCATTACAAGGTTTGTATTTCATCCAGCCCCTTCTGACCTTTGGTTCAGCTAATTCTGCTGCTTTCTTTAAGGCAGCAAGAGAAACTGGGGAGGGGAGGAGGCTTTTCTTTAAAATCCGTAAAATCTATCAGTCAACAGACACTCTATACAAGTCAAAATCAAAAAGTTTCATAGAATGATAGGACTGGAAGGGACTTTGAGAAGTCAGTTTGCCCAGTTCCATACATTCATGGCAGGACTAAATACAGGCAGTCCCCGGGTTACATGGATCCGACTTACATTGGATCCCTAGTTACAAACGGGGTGAGGCAACCCCGCACTAGCTGCTTCCCTCCAGCAGACCAGGGAGATGCGAAGCTAGCGCCCCCCCACCCCAGCAGACCAGGGAGAGGTGGAGCGGCTTTTCTCAGCAGACACCTCAGCTTGAGAATAAAGGACTGAGGGAAGTGAGGTGTGGGAGAATAAAACTGAGCTCTGGAGAAATGTTTGGCTAGAGTTTCCCCTACAATATGTACCAGTTCCGACTTACATACAAATTCAACTTAAGAACAAACCTACAGTCCCTATCTTGTACATAACCTGGGGACTGCCTGTATTATTCCTGACAGGAATTTGTCTAACTTACCCTTAATAATCTCCAAAGATACAGATTTCAGAGCCTTTCTTGGCAATTTATTACAGTGCTTTATCATATTTACAGTTAGGAAGTTTTCATAGAATCATAGAATACTAGGACTGGAAGGGACCTCGAGAAGTCATCGAGTCCAGTCCCCTGCCCTCATGGCAGGACCAAATACTGTCTAGACCATCCCTGATAGACATTTATCTAACCTACTCTTAAATATCTCCAGAGATGGAGATTCCACAACCTCCCTGGACAATTTATTCCAGTGTCTGACTACCCTGACAGTTAGGAACTTTTTCCAAATGTCCAACCTAAACCTCCCTTGCTGCAGTTTAAGCCCATTGCTTCTTGTTCTATCCTCAGAGGCCAAGATGAACAAGTTTTCTCCCTCCTCCTTATGACACTCTTTTAGATACCTGAAAACTGCTATTATGTCCCCCCTCAATCTTCTCTTTTCTAAACTAAACAAACCCAATTCCTTCAGTCTTCCCTCATAGGTCATGTTCTCTAGACCTTTAATCATTCTCGTTGCTCTTCTCTGGACCCTCTCCAATTTCTCCAACTTTCTTGAAATGCGGTGCCCAGAACTGGACACAATACTCCAACTGAGGCCTAACCAGCGCAGAGTAGAGCGGAAGAATGACTTCTCGTGTCTTGCTCACAACACACCTGTTAATGCATCCCAGAATCATGTTTGCTTTCTTTGCAACAGCATCACACTGCTGACTCATATTCAACTTGTGGTCCACTATAATCCCTAGATCCCTTTCTTCCGTATTCCTTCCCAGACAGCCTCTTCCCATTCTGTATGTATGAAACTGATTGTTCCTTCCTAAGTGGAGCACTTTGCATTTGTCTTTATTAAACTTCATCCTATTTACCTCAGACCATTTCTCCAATTTGTCCAGGTCATTCCTTAACTTTCAATTTAAACACCCTTACTGCAGTTTAAACCCATTGCTTCTTAGCCTATCATCAGAAGCTAAGAAGAATATTTTTTTCTCCATCTTCCTTGTAACAATCTTTTAATGTACTTTGTGATCCTCCATCTCACGAATCTTCAAGGAAGCTGTGTTATGTAGCAAACTGAATGTAGGCCCAACAATTAGGAATACCTGAGTTTTAATCCCATCTCTACTACTGTCTGGTTATGTAGCGTTGGGTGAATCACTTAGTCAAGCCTGTGCCTCTGTTTCACAAGTTCAGACTCAGGTAATAATACTTCCCTAACTCACACAAATGTTGTAAAAATCAATTAATTAAGCCCTCAGCCCAGCATATCAAGACCAAGTAATCCAGTGGGAAAGATTCCTACAGATTTCTCAGTTTGTTGAATAGTGATGGGGGAAGATTTTGGTGGTTATTCCCAAAAAATTACTTAATTGGTGATAATTAGGCATGTGGCTTACCTACTGGGAAAGCAGTGTATTTATTTTGTGCAGCTCACCTGGATAAGTATCCTTAAAAAAGCTTTAGGTGGTGTGTGCAAGTGAACATTGAAAGTTAGAAATAGAAATGTTACCTAGAGTGTAGATAAAAGGATAGCCATCACTGGCACATAAATTGATTGCACCAGATCATATTAAGGATCTTGCAGTTCTGTTTATCAGCTGTATATATGTAAGATGCTGATAAGTTTTCTCTAGAAGGCAAAAATGATTAATATAGAAACAAAAATAAAGGTACATATATGCGCTCCTCGTTTTAAAATTCCTTAAGCGCACTAAATATATCCAGATGTACATAAAAAAAATCCCTTCTAAGATTATATCTGATGGAATGTTTCCCAAATAATTTAGTATAGTTGTCTTTAATGGAAAATTACCAATTTTTTAATCCAATTGGCATTTTCATTAATCCAGTGACCTGCGATTTGACTGCAAAGAGGAAATGTAATTTTTTCTTAGGCTCCTGAAATTTAGAAAAGCCCTTATATCTGAAGAATTATAAAACAGGAAGTTTGATAATGTAAATAAATAAATGAAACAACTTTAAACACAGAGAAAGGAAGAAAATGAGGAGAAAGGAAAGTCCACAGTTGAAAACTGGGACATCACCAAGCCACAAGGGAGCAAGTAAGGACTCAATCCAGTAGAGCTAATCTGTGGCATCCCACATTGGTCACTGCCACAGCCATCAAAAATATCAACTTCATAGCAAAAAGATTGCACTGTGCTTGGTGCAGAAGCCCAGTTTTTAAAAACAATAAAAAATAAAATTTTAGGAAATCTTGCGTTAAAGGACTTACTTACCAGGTAGGACCTCTCATGAATGACTGATCTGCTATCTATGACCATATGATCTTGAACTGCAATCCTGCCAAAGTTCATGTGGCACCTGGCTGGATTAATATTTGAATGTTAGTCTCCTAAACACTGTTTACTTATAGTGGGAGGACTCTTCCTTCTATAATACCAGTGTCCCAGCAGGGCTTTAGAGAGTGCTCTGTTGTTGGTTCAGATGAGATGCGAAAGTGCACTTTGCGCCATTTGTATTGATAAAGAATCACAACATTTTAAATAAAATATAGGGTGTTAAATCTTCTGGCCTAGACATATTACACTGCAGGTAAACATCTGCCTGCCTCAATTTCCTCTGAAGCTTCAAATCAATATGCTGTTCATCTTCATTTTCTTCCCAAAATTGTTGCTTGATGTTTCTGTACAATATTAAAGACAGATTATCTTTGATTTTAAGAGCAGGGATATCCTATTTTGGAACACAGCCACTGCCATGTTGGATAAAACCATTTAATCCAGGGGTACTCAACTGTTTTCTTTCTTCCCAAAACATACTGTAAAAATTCTAGGGGTCAGAGGAGGGGGGGCAGGGCTCCAGGCTTCAGCTGCCGGGGGTGCACTGGGGGCTCTGGCTTTGTCCTCTTGGAGCATGGTGGGTCTCTGGTCTCCTGGCATCAGTCCTGTGGGGTACTCTCTGTGTTACCTTTTCTCAGTGAGTCACAGGGCACACTCACTCCAAAATGGTGGTTATTCTATCATTAGATATGCCAATTCCTGGCTCTGCAATTGATCTACTGTATGACCTTGTGCAAATCACATTTCTCGACTGCTTTTCCCCTCCAACTTTTTGTATGTTTTGTCTGTTTAGAGCAGGGGTGGGCAATAATTTTTTATGGGGTGGGGGCATTCCAAGAATTTGGTAAGTGGTCAAAGGCCACATTATATTAATGGAGTAGATGCAGGGTGTATGATGGAAGTTGGGTGCAGAAGGGAGTTTGAGGTAAGAGATTGGGATGCAGGAGGGGTGCAAAGTTTGGGAGGTGGTTGTGTCCTTGGTCAGGGGTGCAGGAGGGAGTTCAGAGGACTGGGGTGCAAGGTCTGGAAGGGGGTTCAGGTGCCAGTGGCAGGCTGTGGGCAAGAGACACCTAAGCAGCTCCCAGCCAGCAGCCCAGCAGGTTCCTCAGCCCAGATCCCTGCCTTCTAGCCTTCTGCACTGACTGCAAGGGCCATGTGTAGTTGAAACTGGCCAATGGGAGCTGTGAGATTGGGTTGGGAGTGGGAGCAGCATGTGAAGCCTCTCCCTCCCTCCCTCTGGGCTCACAATGTTCAGAGAGCTACTCTGAGAAGCATGTGGGAACAGGGCAGGAAGGAAGCTTGGCTGAGGTTCCTGCAGGCTGGATCCAGTGGCTTGGTAGGCTATATTTTGCCCACCCCAATTTATATTATAAACTCTTCAAAGCAGATATTGTCTCTTACCTATTCATATATTGCTCTGCATATTTGGGGCCCTGATCTTGTCCTTGTCCTCTAATTGCTACTGTAATATGAATAATTAATTATAATAATATTAATTCCTCATGTGACGGACCTCCTGGCAACATTATGGCTCCATCTAGACTGCAAGCCTCTTTCGAAAGAGGCTTTTTCAAAATATACTTTTGAAAAAGCCTCTTTCGAAAAAAAGCATCTAGACTACAACCAGTACTTTCAAAAAGGCAAGCCACTTTTTCGAAAGAGAGCACTCAGGCAGTCTGGATGCTTTCTTTCGAAAAAGCAGTTTGCATTACATAGCGCCTTTTTTTGAAAGAGCACTTAGATGGCTGCAGAGCCGTGTGGTATTGTGCACCATAGTCACACTGCATCTTCCCCAAGTGCTTGCCCCAGTCGCCACTCAGCTGCTAGTGGCAGCAGAGGGGTCAGCATTGACTGAGCAGGCACTGAGGAGAGGCGCTTGGGGGGAAAGGAGGATAGCTGCAGACTCCTGTGGCTGTGGGCTAGGAGCACTGTCTGGGAGCACTTGGGTTTGGTGTACTCCCAAGGCACTGAACTCTGGCCCCCAGCCATGGGGCTCTGCAGCCACCCTTCCCCTGAGCGTCTCTTCCCCTGAACGTCCCTTCCAACCCCCCCAGTCTTCACTCAGTCAATGCTGGCTCAGAGCAGAATGGCAGCAGACAGCAGCAGAGGGGCTGGTATTGATGTCGCCTGGTCTGGCAGATTCCTTGACTGGGGACAACCTGCAGTTCATTATTTTAAAAATTGCTGCACTCAGTGGGAATTACAGGGGGGGCTCTATTATTGGCTAATAGAACTATATTAGATCACAAACCATAACTGGTTTCCAATACTGTATCAGTTAGAAAAGATAAAAAAGATGGATCTTTTACACACAAACATTAATTCCAAAACCTGAATGAAATCAATGCATTTTATGATTTAAGCTAGAGAAAAGGGGTTTTGTACTTTCTAACAAACAATAGCCAATTTGGCAGGAAGAAGTATAGACCAAATGGTGTAATCCCCAACTGGAATAAATCCCCATATGGAGGAATAATTCTGTAAGCATTTCAACATAAAGTTTGGAAATCCAACAATAAGTTATATTGTTAATAGGTTGTTTAAAGCTTCTTTTATTGTTTGATTCATTTTAATAATAACATAGCTTGAGTCACCCAACATTCTTTATGTGGGAATCAGTGTATTTGATGTTCCTTTAAAATCCTTTCAGGTAACGTAATAATCAATCTGACAAAAATCAGTGATGAGTACAACCTCACTAGGTTCAAAGGTCCTCTGAAACTTAGCTGAACTTTCTGACATTCACTATGCATGACCCTCCAAAAAGCTGCATCTCTTCCTTCTACATGACCGGTTAGTGTTTTCATTCCCTTCGTCCTGCTAAAAAGCTTTGGCTACCTTCCAACTTGTATTCAATAGGACCTCCTCCTCGGAATCCCATTCCACTATTTGAAAGGGCCATGTAGTTAGCCTTACTGCTAGGCTGTGTCAGCCAGTGAATTCAAATTTCACATGTTCTGGAACCATGTGCACCTTTTGTGGAGTGCACCCCAGCTCATGTACAGACACTAGTCATTTGTGAGGTGAAGAATTGAAACCCAGGGAAGTGCAGGCCAGAAAATTCAGATTCTTATGAAAGGGAAGGGGCTTGCACACTCATTATATAGTACGTAGTCCTGTGACATTTTAGAACTAACAAAAATATATATCGTATCATGAGCTTTTGTGGGCAAAATGCACTTTATCTTATGAGTTTTCCCCACATAGGTGCCACAGGATTACTTGTTTTTAAAGTTACAGACTAACACAGCTACCCCTCTGAGGCTATGTCTAGAATACAAGGTTTTATCAGAAAAAGATATGCAAATTGTGCTCTGCAATTTGCATATCTTTTTCTGATAGTTTTGTCAGAAGAGGCTTTTCTGAAATTTGGCCCATCTACACTGCTCCAAATTTTGGAAAAACCTCCTCTTTCGGAAGAGCCCTTATTCCTCGTAGAAGGAGAAAGACAGGGCTTCTGAAAGAGCACGTCTGCTCTTCAACAAAAAAAAGCAGAAGAGCAGATGCATTTCCTGATAGTCTAGACATAGGAGACTCATTATACAGTCAGCTGAGACAAACCCCGTAGTCTAGACAGAGCCTGAGACTCATTATACAGTCAGCTTTTGTCCTATGCTAGATAGTGGCAGAGAGTGAAGTAGATGTTTTCCACAGTGAAAGTTCTTTCTCAAAAAGGACCAGACATATTGCAAAACCACTAAGCTTCTTGTTTATTGTTGATTACTATAGTATCTGGAATTAATCTGCTTAAGACCATTATATGGTCATCACTTGGTAGAAAGTTTTTTTTTTCATTGGACATTCACAGTTTCACATTGTGATGAATTGGTGTATGCTGGCTAGAAACCCTTTGATACTGCACACAAAAAATCACAGTAATGTATTTTAATGTGCATATGTATCTACAATACCAATATAGTCTCAGAAATTACAGGCTTTTACAATCTTGTACTTTACAGTGTCATTATATGAGCAGTAATGATACATTAGAATTTTAGAGAGGATGATGTTAAACTCAGAATGCTACGCAGCATATTTTCTTTCCTGTGTTTGCAGAAGAGCTGCCTGCATAATACAAAACAGTTATTCATGACACTTGTCCTTATAAAAATTATAGATTTGCTTTGATGGCATTCACACTCCCTTATATTCACTTTCCACAAACCTGTCAACAAGCCAATTTGAGTTTATCAAAATGAGAAAGGATCACAATATTCTGGGGATACACAGCCACAATTCATGCCAGCAGGGATAGTACAACCAACTTGACAGCTTTTTGTGGGGCTGGCAACAAAAAGAATAACATATGACTCTGGTGATAACTCATATTTTATTACTTTGTATGTATTTTACACTGGCCACATGAGGCCTAAAGTAGCAATTAAGGCCCAGTGTGCTCTGCATTGTACAAACAGGCAATTGAAAGACAGTCCCTGCACCAAAGAGGTTACAATCTGTGCTAAATTTATCCATATACAGTACACCTGCAGAAGGCCTATGCTCTGCGTTAGTTACCCTGAAAGACTTGAGTGATGCAAAAGTGTTGTCTTCACCTTTCACTTGGGAGTGAATATCACTGCCAGTATAAATAGTAAATTGCAAAACCCAAGTGCCTGAAGCAAAAGTCCAAGCAAATAGTTTGTGAGAAACATCTGGGCTGAACTACGTCCCTGTATAATGCTAACGGTAATGTTTTAAAAAAATAGTTATTCTATGGTGGTTTTTGTCATTTATGTGTTTCTGTTACTAGTTAATGGCAAGGACACCTAGGATGTGTCTAGACTACATGGCTCCGTTTGCTCCCTCCCAGGACTGGCTGAAGCCTGACTCCAGGGTCATTAAGAGGGAGCATGGTCACATAACTGAAAGAGCTAGATTTTATTCCTGCACTGCCAGAGATATGCAATGAGGTCTCCTGTTAGTCTCTTAACTTCTCTATGCTTCAGTTTCTTCATCTGTTTAAACAGGATAACTACTTATCCTACATGCTTGTTATGAAGCTTAGTTCATTCATGTTTGTAAAAGGTGTTGCGATCATCTAACGTCAAGTACTATAAAGCTGTAAAATATTATGTTGGTTATATATGTAGACGGAGCAGAAGACGCATTTCCAAAGATGGCATTTTGCTGATTTTCACAGACTAGTAGTTAGAAGTACACAGTTCAAAACTTGGCTATTCTTCTTACACTCTGAAGCTTTGGCCAAGTCACTTAACATCTTTTCATCGGTTTCCCTATCTGTAATATTGGGACAGTAAAGCTTAGCTTTCAACCAGTTAATAAAATTGTGAAGCAAAATGAAATTAGATATAAAGGCTAAGTAGCATTCTAAAAGCTGCTGTGATGTTTATTGTGTTTGGTATTGATAATAGAAGGGAATGGTCTCTTATGTCCAACTGTTAGCAATATATTTTGCAATGGTTGCAATATAAAAGATCACATTAATAAACAGGGTAACCCACACCTATATCTGAAAGCTCAAATCAGCACTTAGGCATGGAAAATTGGTAATTTCATCAGAATCTAACTGTCTTCTTAGAACATGCCTGTTGTATACATTTAAATGTCTACCTGAGTATCCAGATGTGGTCTTTGGCTATCCTAATAATAATTCTGATCACACTAGTCATTTCATGTGCAGCTCTGAGGTCTCTGAACTCTTGATAATATAGGGTACATCTACACAGCAGCATTATTTTGGAATAACTATGTTATTCCAAAATAACATGGTGCATGTCTACACTACAATCCTTTATTTCAAAATAATGTCGAGATGAAGGACTTCTTACTCCAACTCATGGTAACCCTCATTTCATGAGGAGTAAGGGAAGTCAAAGGAAGAGTGTTCTTCAACTTCCTGTTGTGTAGACAGCACCAAAAGCTGAATTCTGCTATTTCAACTTCAGCTACACAATTGACATAGCTGAAGTTGCATAGCTTAATTTGACTTTAGCCCTGCTTTGTAGGCATGACCATAGGGAATGCTGAGGGTGCTTGGCAGTGTAGCTTACACAGTGTAGTTTTACTCAGTGACTCCATAAAAAAGCCTCATGTATCTCTGGTTTTTTGTTCTTCCTTGTTTTTAATGCCTCTGTTTCTTGCATATTCAGTTTACAAGTAAAACTTGCAAGTTCCACTTAAGATAAAAAAAAATTAAGTTTATCCTGCTTACATATCACTCCCATTAATTAAGTTAATCTTCCATGCTCAAGCATAGCTGAGAGCCAAATTAGGCCCTGCTACTAGAACCCGGTTTGCAATTTTTTTTTTGATGATATGGAACTTAGAGGAGAATCCAGCACACAACATCACAACAGGAGAGTTGCTAACAGGAACAAATTATTTAAAAAGGTGTTTTTTGTCATTACAATTCCATTTCCACAAACTTTCACTGGAAAGTTCACTTTTAGGAAACCATATTTGAAAATTGGACTCAAGCAGTATCATAAGTGATTAAATTTATTTTATTGGTATTCAATCATTCTATATTAAATAAAATGAACAAAACATATGGTTGTGTTTATTTTTTATTTATTTGCCCCCAGAAACCCTTGCTAAAATTACAGCCTAATATCTTGTATCAAAGGCTGTGTAGTTTTTGTTGCATGCTCAAAGAAGTGTTACAGTCCAAACTTCGTTGTTAATTTTATTCCCCAGTTTGATGGTGAATTTAAAGTTCAATTGAAGAAATTCACCTAATTCAAAACTTCATATTAATGGTTTTATCTAGTCTACCAGTTACAAGTCTTGCATTCTTTTCTTTCATGCAGAATCACCTTCATCTGCCAGAATGCTGTCTGGATTTTCAAGTTTGTTACATCTGTGTCCATAAATGTGTCTTCAAGTCAACACTAAATCAGAAGAATGGTGTCATGGAGATAAAAAGTAATTTACAGCAAGACATTAGTTTAAATGTTACATATAAAATACAAATATTAGATCAGATGGAATGGTCAATATTTCCTGTGCTTTCTTGAGATGAGGAACATAGTATTTCTACCATGGTTGACTTCCAAAACTGATTTTATGACAGGTCAAATTTTTCATTATTTTTATGTTCCTTTTGGATTGCAGGGGCTTGATTTTCCTCTTGCTTACTAGCTTTACATCAATATAATTTTACTGACTACCACAGAGTTACTTCACAGACTAGTGTAAGTGAGAGGACCCTTTGACCTTGCGTTGTTATCAGTGGTGGCCTGTCAATACAAGCGATCACAGTTGCCTAGGGCTCCAAGATAAACAGCCATTGAGCGCTTTGGAGGCAGGGGCGCTGACCGCACGCCGATTGCGCGTTTTGCCTAGGGCACCAGTGCCAGCAGCTCGTTTAGGGCTGCTCCTGGCTGATATGCATAGTTTCAGACATAGTGTGACTTCTAGAGTTTCTGTTTATTAAACTTAAAAGTCATTGGTAGTATTATTGTTTGTTTATTATAATTGGGTAAAGCATGGTAATCTTTCATGACCAAACTGCCCAACAGGATGAATAGATTGTGAAACAGGAGATTTGTGTTCTGATTTCACCCTATCTGCTTGCTGTGTGGCCACTTAATCTCTTTGGGTTAAACTCAAATCAGCTATAAGTAGTTAGGTCAATAGAGTGTACCCACTTGTAGCATTTCTGAACTTGATTCTCTGTGCAAGTCTTTCTCTGTAAAATAAGATTAATAATTCCATGTGGAGCACAAGGATGCTGTATTAACAAATATATATATAGAGAGAGAGAGACAGAGAGAGAGAGCACTTTGAGATTCATTTCATTGCAGGTGCTATAGAAGTATAAAGTATTATTTCACAGGAGAATAAAGATAAAAACAGGAGAGATACCAACTTGTACCTCTGAGGAAAATGAGTGAGGGCCAGATTGTTCCTTTCACAAGGAACTTCAGGAGAAAAAAAATCTATAAGGGAAATCCTATGGAGTTACTTCACGTTGTTTCTTTGGAGAAGAGAAGGCAGTTTTCCATAGGAAGTAAATGCCTTCTGAACAGAGCTTTTGTGCCTCTGCTTTGATTCTGAGGGCCCCTTTCCATTATCTGGAACCTGGTTCCAGTAAACTATGTTTCAAGGAAATACACCTCCCACTACTGAGGGAGCCCTACAGAAAAGGAATTTAGTAATGAGTTAGATCGTTTTAAAGTTACATGGAATGGAAGAGGACAGGATGCATGTCTCCCTAAACTGTCAATCAATCCCACACTCCTCCCTGAATCTACACAGAGCTACAGGGGATACAGGGTCATGGGCTGAAGGGTGGACTCTGCTGATGACGATTGTGCACTAGCACTGGGAAATTTCGTGAAGTATCATTTTGGTCAGGAATGAAAGTAACAAATTCTGAGTTATATTTACAGTTTTGTGAGGCTCAGAAGTTTTGATTTATCCGAGGTCATTCATACAAACCTTTTTAATCCATGTTTTGCTTCTAGATATAGAAAATTAGCTGGAGTTACCCAGTGTTGCTCGGGAAACCAGATGAACAAAATGTTGAAAAACAGTAGCCCATTATCTTTTTTTTGAATGGTAGAAAAGTTGCATTGATTTCTATAGGGATTAAAATGTAGGTCCGCATCATCCCCGGAGCGGGGAGCGTGCAACTCCGGGTGGAGGGGAGGTTACACGCGGGAGGGGCGCCCCAGCTTGCGCCCAGGACAGCAGGTGCTGCGGGGGGCAGAGCGGGTGCCTGAGCAGTGTAGGGGTCGGGGCACTGTGTGCCAGTGTGGAGGGGGAAAGAGGGTCATTTATGTAACCTCATGGGTGGGAGGAGGAGAGTCCCGGACAGCGCTGGGGGCCGCAGGTAGTGGTCATGGGACCTAGGGTGGGCGGGGCAGCCCCTGCAGCGCAGCGTTGTGGACTACTTTTTTATTTTTACAGCTTGAGCTCAGGCCCGATTGGGTCTAAAAGTACCTTAAAACCTTCTCCTGGATGAAAGGTTATCCCATGCAAAGTTTGGTTGCAGTAGCTCTTATAGCGTCCAAGTTATTAGCACACAAACGTACAAATATTCTCCTTTATATATTAGATATCCAGAAAAATGCACTCCATGAATTATATAATTCTTAAATTCAGAACTCTAAATAAAATAATTTAGCAGATGAAATTATGGGCTGACCATCTTATATATCATTGCCTACTTGTATGGGACTTGACAACATAGCAACTTAATAGGGTAAATGGAATCTACTTTACCCCAGGTTGCCAACATTTACAAGAGATAGAGTTTATTAAAATTTCTTTTTATATAATTTGTTTCAGGATAAAAAAAACAAAGAAACAAAAAGGCAAACGAAAAAACTGCAAAAAAAAAATCCAAACCCTTGACACTGAAACTTCACTGTCGGATTGCTGCAAATACGCCTCAACTCAATGCAGCCCTTAAAACACGCTGGTAACTTCTGCCCTGAGAAGCAAAGTCAACAAAAATGAGCATCACATTGAAAAAAAGGCCACCTCAAGTAAAGTAAAGTAGAGAGAACATTCATGGAACATTGTATTCTTCATGGAAACAACTGTAAAGAAAAAGAGTTTGAGCAAGCATAATAAAACTCTGCCAAGTACTGGAAAGGCCCCTGCTAATCTCTCTACCATCCTGCCTTCAAAACAGATTGCAACATCCAGTGTGTCAGATCTTCCCACAGCTTTGCCAGAAACAGTGAGTTTAGATTCCATAGTAAAAGCAAGTCCTGGGAAAAGGAGACCAGGCACTGTAACAATATCAAAACGGTCAAATGCTGCAAACATGTCTCAGAGTCAGTTGACTCGACCAGTCATTCCACCAAAAAGACCTGGCTTTAAAGTGTGCTATATCTGTGGCAGAGAATTTGGGTCACAATCCCTTGCCATACACGAACCCCAATGCCTAGAGAAGTGGCATATTGAAAATGGCAAATTACCAAAGCATCTCAGAAGAGCAGAGCCTTCTAAACCTCAGTCCCTTATTGGTGGCTCCTATGATACTAAAGCTATGAATGAGGTAGCTTATCAGAGTGCTCAAGCTCAGCTCTTGCCCTGTGAAAACTGTGGCCGCACTTTCCTTCCTGATCGCCTCCCAGTGCACCAAAGGAGTTGCAGACCAAAGGATGGTGGCCTCGGCCCTTCAAACATTAACCCACCTAAATCTGTTAAAGGCCCTAACTTTGGGCTAGTATCTGCAGCACGTACTGATCAATCTAGTAAAGGTCAACAAAAAAGTGGGGCTGCTCCAGCCATACCAGACAAGGTAAATTATTATGCATATGGGCTCTGACCGAGACGTGATTGTTTTGATATAGATACCCCAGAGTCTAGAGATGAGTGAACTTTCACTAAATCTTAAATTTCAAGGCCTACTTTCAAATATGTTTTTTTGCACCACACACACTCTTCCCAGTTGAGCAAGGGTGGATAATGCATTCAGAAGGGAAGCATAAATTTTTCTAATCCTATTTATCCCTGTTTCTTTGATCTTTCTTGTTGAAAGGAGAAATTTGAGTTATAATTTCTCATGTTCCTGGAGGACATGTATCCTCAGAAGAGGCCATTTTGTGCTATAGGTCATTAAAAGATTATGTCAAGCTGCTTAAGCAGACTTTACATTTTCCTAGTATGGTTTAACAGACCTCAGATGTTTGTATTTAATTAACACAAACCATGATGTTTCCTTATGCGTTAATCATTCCAGAGATTTAGATTTTTTTAAATGTTATACTTATCCATGAATAAAATCATTGGGGTTTGCATGCTCAAAGTCAGCAACTCAGAATACAATGAAAATAAGTCAACAGACTACATAGTTTTTCCACTTAATTTGATGAAGGAGCCCAGATTAATGGGACCTGTTCTATATGTAAGAAGCTACATGAACATTAAAAAAAAATAGCCTATATTTTTTTTGTTTCTGTACCAGCTTTGGAATGGTACTTTATTTTGACCTAGATTTTAGAAAAAACGTTTAAAGTTAAGCAACTAGTTCCATAATTAGGTGCCCAAATGTGCAGCTTGATTTTTAGAAGTGCTGAGCATCCAACTTCATTTGATTTTAAGAGTCACATTCCTATACAAAAGGAACATGCATCTAGTGGTTAGCACATGAACCTAGCAATTGGGAGCCCCACATTCATGCCCTTATTCTGCCACAGATTTCCTAAGATATCAAGTCACATAGGCACCAATTTTTAGACATATTTAGTTGTTGCCCTGCTCAGCAACATTGCAGTGCCTAAGTCCCATTTTAGTCACTTTTGACAATAGAACTTAGCCAACAAAGTTACTTAGGCATTGTGGTGCTGAGTGGGATAATATCTAAATACCTTTACAAATCTGGGCCTTATTATCTCTGAGTCTCAGTTTCCCCATCTGTTTAAAACAGTGTATGTGTGAAGGAGGCTATAATAATACTTCTCAAACTCACACGAGTGCTGTGAGGACAAATAAATTAAAGATTGAAAGTCACTCAGATACTACTAGCAGCTATATAAGCATAGAAGATAGATGGGCCTAATTCCCTTTATCTAAGTATTACAATAGGTTCTTTACCACATGTTCACAGGCATAGGATATATGAAGTAATGTAAAATATGAGAGAGAGAGAGAGAGAGAGAGAGAGAGAGAGAGAAAGAGAGAATCTATAGTGTTAGAAAAATGCATTAACCTTGTATTGTTACATTGTATTATCAAGCAATTACATTTTATCATTATGTAAGTGCAATTATACAATTAAATAATATCATAATCTATATGAGTGAAGGGAGGAGTTAGTTGCTCTCTGTATATAATTTCATGTTTACTAAAGAAACATTGAGAAAATATTTTTTTAAAAAACTACAAGTCCATAACTATAGTCATGCACAGAAAAGATTCTACAGGAAAAGTGACTTTGTAAAACTGTTATCCTCTTACTCAACAGATGTGTGGTGTACATTCAGTCACATCTGCTGACTAGATTGGCAAAAATATGTTACAATTGTTTTTTACTCCTCTTCATACTGCACAGCCAGTACATCCAAGATGATGTGATCTGGATTCTATTATTTCTTATGTTTCATCACCAGGCTTGTTTACTTAATTCCAGTCAGTTACACCTATTTATTCCACTAACAAAGGCAATATAGCCTATGACTGACAGTGTAATTTGTCCCAGGGAGCCCTAATATTCGTGATGATGCACAAGAGGAAAGACTCTACCTTGATTTCTAGGTCTGAAACTGAGTTCTCAGCGCTAGCCACTAGAAAATAAATCCCATCACGGGTAAACTGAACATATCTAGTATGGAAGTTCTTCAAGGAACCACACACTGCATTTTTACATTTTCAGATCCTCTTTTTTGTGTAGACCTGCACTTTAAAAGCAGAGATAATAGTGGAAAGAGAGAGAGAGAGAATCATAATGGGAACATCAACCCAATCCTCTGAGCAGCGTAAAGACCACACAAGAAACATCGGTGGAGCTTAATTTTCACTGTTTTTTTCCAGCAAATATTTACAAATATTGTTCACTTTGTCAGCTACACAAGGGTTTACTAATGTGTAATATTCTATTAAAAATAAATAATGGCTAATTAAGTTATAGCAAACAGCTTTGTTATATAGAAGGAAAGTGCTGGACTGGTGACAGGAGTAGGTCAGAAAGTACAACAAGCAATCATGCTTGGCTGATGCAAAGTAGAAAGAGCTACATGCCAGTCCTGTTCATCTGAAGGAATATTACTTCAGAGCATGTCATTTGATGGACAGGAGAGAGATCACAAAACATTAATAGCAGACTTCTTGGTGGAGGAAATAATCCTAGAGCATCTATTTATGTTTATCCAAATGGCATTTCATTCCAGAATCAGCAAGTCAGTTAAACACATGTTTAAAACCTTGCTGAACCAAGGCCTTTTATGACTACTTTGTAATTATATATACATGAGAGCCTCTCTACCTCAGCATCTATCATCAAAGACCATCAAAACTCCAAGTCCCATTCTCTACTCTGAATATAGAAAATGAACTCACTGGCCCACATCCAGGGTTGTAGCCAAGCTATGTTTGGCTCAGCTTGAGGGGAAAGGCAAAGGTGGCTGTATAGTGTTTTTACACACCTATGTGCATAAACCTACAAATCCCAGTTCCAGGGCAGAACTGGTGAGAGGAATCTCATGGGCTGCTCTAATTTTCCCCTTCCACCTGCCAGTACATTTTTTAGAAGGCTGGCCAGCAGCCCAGCTCAGTTCTGGCTTGTACTGGGTCCAGGCCTACCCCCACTGTGGCTCTGCATTTAAAATGTGTTAGGAGCCAGGTGGACAAGCAGCCCATCTCAGTTCCGGCTTCTGATGGGTCCAGGAGCTCAACCCCCCATCCCCACCCTGAACAGGGGCTGGTTTTTAAATTGGCTCCGCTTGCAGACCAGCTTCCCGCTTGGCACCTCGCACTGCTGCCTCTGATACGGAGGCAGTAGCACAGAGTGGGTGGGGGGCTACTCCGGAGTGAGGCCAGAGTACACTGGCTGCTTGGCCTTGCCCCTGGGGACTATAGAATAGTCAAATAACTGATAAGAATTCATGAGGTTAATCGACTATTGAATTAACCGATATTTAACATCCCTAGTTCTAACGGAGCTGTTATGGCATCTGAGGGCCACTGAAATGAAGGAAGGTAGTTGGATCATAGGGTGAGGCAGAGAGAGCTATACAAATTCTGTGCCACTTGGGGGTTCTACCACATGGGGAAATCCTGAATCAGCTGGTTAAAGCAGCTCTAGGGCTTCCTTTTGCCACCAAAGCAACCACAGGGATCAAAGGATCTGGACCATTGTTTTTGTTAGCTCTGATTTTCTTCTAATCCTCAATCAAATCATTTGGCCAGTTGTGGAGATAGCTAGTTAATGTATTACTGGTTTGTTAGCCCAAAGTTTCTTTTTTAAACCGAAGTATGAATTTTAATAGAAACTATGGACTCTGTATTAATCAAATCTGATTGTGTATAAACCACACAATAAGGTATGCTTAATTGACTTTCAGGAATTATATCCATTCAGAAATCCTTCTTCTTGGACTTCATTGGATTATAGTGATTCATTAGATACTGCAAGTCACGTAATTATATTCTTTAAATCCAGTCCTGTACTAAAGAGAATGCACTACTCTTAGAAAAAAAAACCTGGTTGCTACTTCCTATGCAGATTGACATTAATTAAGTGCTACAAATGTTTTTTTTCTTCTTTCTTTGGCAACAGATGGTGACGACTTTAATCCTAGAATCCTTACAGCTGGATCTCTAGCATCTGGTGCTGCCATCTGCTGTCTATTTCCTATTGTAATGCCTTACCCACAAAATAAAAATGTTAGTCTCCTCTTTTTATGCATCTTAACACAGAGCCAGTCTTGAAAACTTGCTGTACACAAGCAAAATCTTTACATAGTTTTGTGTAAAATCAGGTGAACAGTGTAATCGGTTCAGAGAATTAGAACTTTTTCAAATAGCATAGATTTCCAAACAACATGAACCTGTATCTGCTCTCGTTGAAGTCAATGACAGACTTTCCATTAATTTCAATAGGAGCCAATTTGGACACTGATAGAAGGTAGTTCACAAAAACAAGAGGAGGAAATACAAAAGGGTAGATACAAATTAACAAAATATTTGAATTAGTTTTACTAAGAAATATCAGCATGGTAGGTGTGGAGGTTCCCCTCTCCACATAAGCATTGAGCCCTTCACTTCTGAGTTTTAAGGAGTCAGAAGTTTTAGAGTGAAATGGAAAACTCAGATAATTCCCATATGGTTACACATGTATTTATCTATGCCGTCAAACACTACACTACACTCAACTAGATAAATATAGGAGTCAGTTCTGGCTTCTTTTCTATAACATTTCTGTCATTATGGCCAATCCCTGACTGAGGTCATTATGAGAGGGTGTGACAAAGAGACAATCTGATACTAGTAAGATTCATAAAAGAGACTTCCATCCCTTACGCTAATGTCCTTAACTGTCGGATGGGTTGGGATGGATGAAAAAACTCTGCTTTACTGGAGTCTGATTGTGCTTTTAATCTTTTATACGTCTTCATCTGCTCTGTTGTTCATATGTGAGCAGTGCTGGTCAGAATTCTGGTCTCCTGACATTCAGTTAGGTAGATAATTTTATGAATGGGAATTATTGTCTCTTCTAGTCCTAGATGATAAATCATTATGCTCTTAGGAGAAGTTTGCAATTCAGTCATACTGAACACACCATAACAAACCAAAAATATACCACTAAAGTTAGCACCATGTTCTACAAACAGGCTGGGAAAAATAAATTACATATTTTGTTCATTGCTACAAATGTATAGCCTTTGAGTTCAATAATTAAATATGTTTTCATTACCACATATATAAACCATATTTCTCAGCTGGAATTAATACATGGTCAGAGCAGTGTAAAAAAAGGACACTCACGGGAAGAAAGTCTGAACAACTTTTTCAGGAATTTGTAGCTATTTTTATGAGGGCATATTTCCTCATGACACTGGCCATTAATATGATCACTTTTTTTACAAGTGAAAAACAAAACCTTGAACAGTAAGTAGCAGACTGTTTAGTCACTGTCTTGTGAGTAGTCTGTCTTGGAAAATTCCTTGACTGGGATCTGATGATTTCCAAAAATATTTTACTTCCATACAATGATCATTCCAGATGTGACATTTGGGCAGGAGAGTTTAAGGGGGAATAGAAATGAAAATTAAATACCAGCGGCTTTAAAACTCACCATCACCCAAAGAGACTTGCTAACTCATTGTCACGTAAGCCACCAAGCAGCCATCTACAGACAAGTTTTTGCAATGTGGTAGTTCTGTGTAGTCTGAAGGCTTCTGCCTTCCACCAACAGAAGTTGGTCCATTAAGAAGTATTACTTCACTCATCTGGTCTCCATCCAATGGTAATGACAGTCAGTCACTTCAGAATGAAAGTGTGGTGGATCTGGGCACATCATTTCTCCGGGAAAACATTTTTAAAAAGAAAAAGCTACGTACTACAATGTAGACCCTTTTGTGTTCCTCCCCTATATCACTAGAGGGATCTTATTTTCTCCTGAGTCAAACTACTCTTTTTCTGTTTAGTCACGTGCTTACTTTTGATGTACTAACCAGTCAGTCATAGAATAATGGACTAACATCCGTGAATTTTCAGCCTCTCAGCTCAAGTGGCCATTTAAGAAAGGAGGGCTCTTTATGGGCTCTTAGGGCCTGAACCAAAGCCCACTGAAGACAATAGAAAGACTCCCATTGGTTTTCATTAACTTTGGATCAGATCCAATATAATTTTCCATACTACTCTCTAAAATGAATTCTGAAAACAATAATGCTTCTTTACTGTAATTGTTGTTTGCAGCCACCAGCGATCAGACGGCCACCCACCGTTGTTTGTTACATATGTGGCCGTGAGTTTGGAACTAAATCTATTAGCATCCATGAACCACAATGTCTGAAAAAATGGCATAATGAGAATGACATGCTACCCAAACATTTACGAAGACCTGAACCTAAAAAGCCAGAAGTCAGATCCTTACAAGGTAAACTGTGAACCAAAAAAAAAAAAAAAAAAAAGACGAATGTAAGTTTTAAAGACAGCTAAGTGATCTACATGAAACAAACAATCATTCATGATACAGTTTAATTTGTTTTAAGCAGCCTATTTTTGCTTTTGTCAAATCAGTGTCAGTTAAGGGTGCTTTGTGCCTCTTATGTAACAGGACATTGTGTCAATCTCTTCTGAATCTAAAACTAGACATCTACTTCCTGACATTGTGTCAATCTCTTCTGAATCTAAAACTAGGCATCTAGTAAGCCCTTCACTGGGATTACTTTTCTAATCAAGACAGCTCATCCAAAAGCAATAAAAGTAAGTTCAATTGCTATAGGGTTTGAGGTGAAATCAGACCAGTGAAGGTGCGACTGATCAATGGAGGGGCCACACTGAGAATTTTCAGTTAGGACAAACTGCAAAGAATAGGGCCAGTCCCCCAAACTGATGGTTTAGTCTTATTATAGTCACCAAACTAGTCACAAAACAATTTATGTAACACATTACTATTTACCAAAAAGCTATAATGCAGTTCCCCTTAAGCAATCTAGCCTTTAGCTCGCAGCTAGACAGCCAAGTCAAACATGGTAAGGTCTGCTTTAAAAAAATCTTATTCACCATATATAGAGTTCTACTAATCCCAAGAGATCAGACACATAACCATGAGGTCAATGACTATATCAGATTTAACCCAAATATACACTTATGGCCAATTCTTATTACATACATTTTAGATTAGTTTAAAAGTAAAGAAGAGTTGCTGCAATTGAAAGATTATAAATACAGATATTAATAAAGTTCTTGGGCCAGTTTCATAGCAAAGATGGTGAGCTGCTGATTTGCAAAAACTCATTCCAGAATCAATTTAACAATAGGCAGTATATGTATGGAGGTTGCCTCAATTCTTCCATAAAAATGCGCAGGGACAATCCAGGGTACCTGGAGAGCTCAGTGTTTGGCTTGAGTATCCCCTGACAAAATTTAAGCAGAACTGGGATGGCAAGGATCAACCCTAAAGCTCTTTTACAGTCCTCTAGCAGGCTAGGATAGCCTTTTAACAGCAGATAATGCTGCAGACATTCCTTGAATGAAGAATAGGCAATAGGCATCAGCAGGGGCGGATATAGGGCAGGGCGAACGGGGCAGCCACCCCGGGCCCCGCGCTTCAAAAAGCCCCGCGCATGCGCCGTGGCGCCGCTGCGCATGTGCCGTGGCAAAGGGGGGGGCCCCACGGACTTACGCTGCCCGGGGCCCCGCAAAACTGTCATCTGCCCCTGGGCTTCAGTGCTTTGAAATAAATCTCTATTTACTAGACACAGAGGGGCAAGTAGCTGCATTCATTAGCATAAGGTAATTATGCATTCAAGCAATTCATAGGTAGTTATGTGACAAACTTCAAAGAGACATAAAGAGAATGATGTTACATCACAACTTTCATTTTGTTGTTACTATTTCTTAATGTCAGTGTTCCCTTTGATCTCTGAATCCATAGAATAAAGTAAGACAGGAACAGCTGTTTATCGTCCGCAAGCTAATATGGTTACATTGTTCATGTCTAACAAGATAAAAGTAAACACAGACAAATACAATTAGTATCTTCTTTAACTCTCTAACAATACAGGTTTACATTTCAAATAATTTACTCTAACATGGCTTTGATAACTATCTACAGTGGCCCTCTTTACCATTTCAATACTTCTCTAATATGCCCTTAAGGTTGATTTTGGATCTCTACAGCTCTTCTCCCTGCAGCCTCCTTTCTACTACCAACTCCCTCAGCTTTATAAAAGCTCTACCTTTCCTGAACAGATAAATTTCCCTTTATTATGGCTTTCCTCTCAGTCTACATATCCTCCAGTTTGCAGCTTAACTGGCCCCTGTGACCTACAGTATCCCCTTCGGTTACATGGGGAACATGACACATCACAAACTTGTGATGTTTTGATTTCACCTTGCTTACTTACATAGGAAAAACTTAAAAACAACGAATAGTCTAGTAGCACCTTAAAGACTAACAAAACATGTCGATGATATCATGAGCTTTCGTGGGCAAAACCCACTTCATCAGATGACAGAAGTATTAAAAGTCCAGATCCAAGAATAAAAAAGGGAAAGGGGAGAAGGAGGAGGGAAAAAAGGAGAAAAAAGACAGTGAATAGATTGTTAAAGCAGTTACAAGAGGCTGATAAGAACAATTAGCACATCCATTGTTTGGTTGGTGTGTTAAGTCATTAGGATGTGGAAGGTAGGGGGCAAGCCAGCCAATGTCTCTGTTCAGTCCATTCTGATAAGAATCAAACTTATAAATGAAGTTAAGTTCCAACCCTTCCCTGTGTATTTGACTTGTGGAATTGGCCTGAAACAAGGCAATGACTTGGAGATCCATTAATGAGTGCCAGGGCAGGTTAAAGTGTTTTCCAACAAGTATACATCAGAGACAGGTGTTGCCTTCTCTCCTCTCTGGAAAGGAATTTGTTTTTCCCTGTTTGGGCACAGATTTTGAGTGAGTCTCTGTAATTCCTCGTATAGTGTTAAAACAGACATTTCACAATCATATAAATCATGAGTGTGTAATTAGCTTTGAGAAAAGACCTTGCTCTATACATTGTAGTAATACAGTAATATTGTATACAATCAGTTGATTCAATTGCTTATCATTTGGGGTTCACTACTTGTCTTTATAGGCCAATAAACCTCTGAAATTATTTTTTTCTGAGAGTTACCTATCAGAGTAAAACTTATTCAAGCTGTGAGGAAGGCAACATAGAATCTGGTGGGGGAAAGAAAGAACTACATGTTCTTTCCTCCCCCACTTGTGTTTACTAAAATGCAAATTGTTTGGTTTCCTGCCCTCTCTTCCCCCTGCTGTCTTGATGATCCTGTTTACTGCTTGTATGTAAACCAAGGCAAATGCACTTTTCTTTGTTTAGGATAGACCTGTTTATCAACTCTTCCTGGCAGATTTGATTTAAACATTCTTTAGTCATAATTCTAACCATATTTCCATAACTTTTTAGTACCCACTGGACACCACAGGAATATAAATGATCAGTCAGTTTTCAAATGATACCTCACAAGGCATATTTTGTACAAAGGGCATTACTACAGTATGTAGGATGTGAATACATTGGGGCACTTAGTGTTACATTCACATGTGCATTCATCAGAACAGAATATCCACAGGCAAGAACAGCTTGGAGACTGGTACCTCAGCCAGGTTTTACACCTATAATGTTGGCTATTAAGAAAAAAACTAACATTTGCCAATGGTGATCACAAAATGGGTTCTGGGATAGTGGAGTTTTAACCCTACCCTACTAGAAATACCAATGCTAACTATGTAATAAATAGTAGTTGGTGTTCACATTTTAAAAGTAGCTACTGTGAACACTACAGTACAGCAAGTTGCTTTTCGTTATATATACCTTATGTAATAAGACAGTTGATACAATCTTTCTACAGTCTCTAAACCCTAATAGCTTAACACACTGGGATGTTTATTTGTGATGCATAGAAGTCTAACTGCAGTGGAAAATACTATCTATGATATAAAATAAATGTTTATCTCTGCTCAGTTACTCAATCATTGTAATTTTGGGCTCAATTCTATAAGGTGTGGACTTTCCTCACTTCACTTCTCCAAATCAATGCCTTGCAGGATTGGACCCATATATTTACTCTGTGGGTACATCTTCATGGCAGATTTCAGAGAGGTAGCTATGCTAGTCTGTTTCAGCAAAAACAGTAAGGAGTCTGGTGGCACTTTAGAGACTAACAAATGTATTATAGCATAAGCTTTTTGTGAGATACAACTCACTTACTCAGATGCTTGAAGAGAAAGAAAGGCAGAGATACACTCCTATCTCTGTAACATCAGTGCTAATTAAATCAGGGTGGACATGGCTCACCTCCAACAGTGATAGAAGGTGGAAATACCTGTGGGAAATTACTTATTGAAATAAGAGAACCTTTCCATGTCTCTATTCCAGCAGTTTCCAACCACCAGGCTGTGGCCCGTTGCTGGGCTATGGGAACTCTACCACCAGGCTGTGGCCCGTTGCTGGGCCATGGGAACTCTTGGGGTTTGGGTCAGGGTTCCACCACCCACCCCCTCAGTGGAGCTGCTCCACTCCTAGCTCCCACCCTCTCTGCGTTGCTCTGCCCCCCGGAGCAGCTGGGCCAGCAGCTTCTGGGGCTGGACTGCAGTACTAAAAATAGCACTGCAACCCTGCCTCTCGGCTTAGCCCACAGGGCAGAATACCCCATGTATCGGGACTGGAGCTGGTACCATGTTCCCAGCCCCAGCTTCTCCTGGGGGGTTGGGCTATGTGGCAGATGGGGCTGGGAGCTGCAAAGCTGTGAGGCCGGAAACAGGAGGCTGGTACTGGGGGGGCTCTAAAGTGTGGAGGAATGGGGGGCTTGAAGCCAGCAGTTTGCAATGGCTTTGGGGCTTTTGGCAGACCAGTAACATTTTATTTTCATATTTGCATATTCATTAATTGCATAATTAATATGCAAGATTTTATTTTCATATTTGCATATTCATTAGTTGCATAATTAATATGCAACTATGAAAATAAAATGTTATCAGTCTGCCAAAGGGTTATTAATGGGTTTGCTGGTCCCTGGTGTAAAAAAAGGATTGGGAACCACTGCTCTATTCAGACCCCTTCTGGCAGTATCAAATTTGCATATGAATTCCAACTTGGGAGTTTTGTTTTGCTGTCTGTTTTTGAAGTTTTTAATTTCCCCATCAGATACTGTCACCCTCTCCTCACTGCTGGAGGCAAGCCACATCCACCCTGATTTAATTAGCTGTGATGTCACACTCTCATTTATATATCTCTACCTCTTTCTTCAAGCTTCTGATGAAGTGAGTTGTATCTCATGAATATTTATGCCCTAATAAATTTGTTAATCTTGAAGTTGCTATCTGATTCCTTGCTTTTTGCTTCACAGCAATATTAGCTTTCACTGTTATTTGAGTGTTGCCTGTAACTTCCCTCCTGTCCACACATGAAACCCTCTTTCTAATGATCAGTGATGCTTTCAGCCTGGGTTTGCTGGCATGCCCAGGTGGAGGTTACAGCCATGATTCTGTTTTCACTGGAGCTGGTTAGCCGTGAGAATATAGGTTAACTTATTCAAGTGCTAGTAATCCTCCAGTGCCTTCCTCATTTTCCCCTGGAGAGTGACTCTGCTGATTACAGCATAATGAACCATAGGTTACACCCTCCAGAACTCTCAGGAACGCATGCAGGTGAGTGGAGCAACAGTGAGAACATAGTAACTCAAGTACAGTTTTGCAGTGTAGCTGCTCTCACCCAGGCTAGGTGAACCTGAGAGGCGATTACCTGAATTAATTCTGCAGTGAAGCCATGCTCTGAGAAAGCATTTTCATTTCATTAGCTCTTTTTATGATAGCTACGTTTACTACCACATAATGGGAGTGAAAATGCGGGGAGGGAGGGAAGAGGAACTAGATCTGACAGAGGAGCACTGTGTGGGTAAAAGAAGGATAGTCTTCCAGGTTTTGCAGAACAGCATCATTCCTGGCCACTAGATGTCTTGAGAAGTGGGAGGAAAGCAAGTTATCTACTCTTAAAGAAAACAGCACTACAGAGCTGTGAATCTGTGAAACCTAGCTATGAATCTACATATTGCCTCACTCCTGTGCAGCTCTTTAAGGTGTTGAGAGGTGCCGTGCTGTGTGCCCACAGTTCCTGTGGAGGCCCTTAACAGCTTCAACAATATGGTCCTAAGTATCAGCTGCTGTGTGTTTGAGCAAAAACTATGTGTTCCCCACTGCCCTGTTACCAAGAAAATTATCTTCTTTTTAGTCCTTTTTTCTAAGACAATTCCTTTCATCCAGGAAATGCTCACTACTCCCTAACTACATAGATACACCATGTGTGTCAGAACTTTATAAAGGTGGGGGTGGGTAATCCTTTTCAGTAAACGGAACAATCAATTTTCTAAATCAAAAGAGGTACAGAAATGAGATCTGTATAAATAAAATGTTCAGTTTCATATTTTTAAAAATAAGTGTGACTAGAGAGAACCACTGGATTGATTACTGGATTTTTGTATTTTGTTTTGTTTTATTTTCTGAATGCAGCACACATGCCAGTATGGAGAAAATCGCCTCCTTTCCTTGTCTCTCTCTTTTTATTTAATACGCTTTCCAAAGTACAGAAAATACACATTCTTTTCCTGCAAATGAAAGGAGTTTTTGCCTCAGCCAAAGAAAGAAACACCAATTGGTTGCTCATCTAACAAAAAGAACATTAGGAACAGGCGTAGTAAGAGATCTAAGGCTTATTGTGGTTATGTGAACTGTTGGATATGAATCATATTAAAACTGCATAGGCTCTTAATGAAGAGATCCATACAGTGCCAGTGACAGAAACCATAGAATATTTAAAAAATGCATGGGACCTTTTCTAAATAGACTGATGCTCACAGTTTGAAGACAAAATGTATTTAGTCCCTTATAGCCACTATCCATCATAACTTCTGGTTAGGTTGAAACCCATGCATTTGAAATTAAGCCATATTACTTTTTTCCTCCTGCCCTTCAAATGGGATTTAGATGCAAAGACTAAACCAGTTGTTAAACAACCTAGCTGTGCTGCTTGGAAATGTGTTTAAATAATCATTTATTTCAAGGTGACAGAAAACAAGGTTTTATGATTCAAATTAAGTAGCTGAAATACACCTCAGCTAGCTCTTGGGAGTCTGATCCTGTAGTCTTACTGCAGGCAAACTCCACACTGAAATTACTGTGAGTAAAAGTTGAACAAGATGTGACACGTGTGTAGGCCAGGACTGCAGGATCAGTCTCAATGACCTAAGTGGAAGCTTTCCTTGAGTAAAACTTGCAGGCTTGGTCTATAAGAGTTTTTGGGCTAATTTCACTCCTATTCAAGTCAATGGTAATACTCTGATTGACTTAAATTGGAGAATAACTGGGTCTTTTGCTCAGAAAAGCACAGATGAGACATATCAAACATACATTTCCTCTCATCCCTGTGGTCAGATAATACAGATTCATTAAGCAGGACAGCAAAATTTGCTTATAATAATGTGTATGCAAAGATGTTATTAATTAGTTAAGAATGCATACCATAACACTTAGTGCTATGTTTTCTCCTTTAATACAATATAGAATGATTGAGTTTGTAGCTCACTTTATTCAACCCTTGGGACGGTAAGCAAGGCATTTTTTTTCTTGTGAAAGCAGTCTGATTTGGTTAAGACTGAAAGGCTCAGTCAACAGGTATTTCCTGAAAATATTTTCCATAAAGAGCTGAATAAGGTTCTCCAGAATGAAAACTGATGCTTTCTTTTTTAATTTTCCAGCCAAAGGTTTCTATGATCTTGATTCTCTAAATGAGGCTGCCTGGAACAGCGCCCAGAGTCAGTTAGTTCCATGTGATATTTGTGGACGCACTTTCCTGCCAGACAGACTGATTGTCCACCAGCGGTCCTGTAAACCGAAACCGGCAAAGTAAAGCACCCCCCTCCCAGGACACACCTTCCAGCCAATGCATTAAAGGAATAAAATCGTTCTTGGAAGCAAAAGGCATAGCTCAGGAGCTCTGTAAAATCACAGTGATGTAGTAGAAACATGTTCAGATCATCTCCTAGGTAAAATTAACAGTAGCCACTGACTATAATATAGGCCAAATACAGTGATTTTTAGCAGGCCCATTATAAGAATGGAAGACATACCTCATCATTTCTGTGCTCTGGGAGGTGCAGCTCACCACTGACATTCAGGGGTGCCCATAAAGTAACTTTAAGCCACCCTTTCACCCCCTAAGCCTGTGCGATTCTCAGGATGCTGGAGGGACTCAATTACTGAAGCATCTCTGTGCTGTACTATGAGCCATAGTGCACTAAATAGTACAGCCCTGCCACTGGTATGCTCCCCAGCACCCGCTCTGACCTACTACCTATGCTAGGGATTTGCAAGTGGCTTGAAAGGGAAGTTTCCGTAGTGCCTGCAAAAAACACTCCATGAAATCCACTTCGGACTTCACAGTTGCCTCTGGTTTTACATAGAAGGAGTTCAGGTACTGTGGCAATGGGTGGCCCTATAGAAGAGAGACAGATAAAAGGTAAAGCTTACCTTTCGTTCTAGAGAAAAATACCCCAGGAATCAGAAGAGAAGCACCCAAATACATCATCTATCAATAGAGATAATGATGAGTTCACTGATGGTAGATGGGCTGTGCTTCCCTGATGCATGTAAATTACTAAATAGCTAAGCTCTGACAGGGACTATAAAGCTTCCTCGCTGTGGCTTGTGGAGGGGTGTCAGAAGAAGGATGAGTCACAAGGCTTAGTAGTCTTAGTGGGCAGGAGCCAGCTAGCGGAGCCAACTGTAGGCTGAGCATAAAGTTTAGCAGAACACAGTAACCTCCCTTCACATCAGCAGCAATATTACTCCCTCTCCTGAAGCTTTGCTGGTTCCTTTGTAGCAGATTGCTCTTTTTCCTAGGAATAATAAATAAATCGGCCTGCAGCAGTTCCAGCACCTTGGGCTCATGTAGTTTATATGGCTTTGGAGGACATGGGTATATTATGCTGAATTAAGCCCGTTCTCCATTAAAACGGAAAAAACACAGAACTCGTTTGCAGCCTACCATAAACCCACAATTTTAAATGACACTGTAAGACAAAGCTACTTAGCCCATTTTACCTTGGCCTAAGTATTTAGCACCCAACCTAAAGTACGCTTCCACCATCAATGAGAAAGACACCCATTGACTTCAATGGGATTGGATCAGAACCAAAAAACACAGGCACTTACTGTCCCCATCCATTGCAACCATGGAGGAAGCATCCCCAATCGGGTGACAAAGTGCTGCTAGGTGCAAAGGGAGAGGCTGGCCAGCAATATCTACCACAGGATGGGTATGTGAGTGTAGATGAAGGTGTGTTTTGCCCTATTCCACACCATAATGATGGTCTGTGGTAGGGGCATAATGCTTATTGCAGTCAATGACTACACTTCCGTTGACTTCAGTGGTTCAGGATCAAAGAGCCAGCACAAGATATAGGCAGATCCAGAAATGTTTCTTGCAGCCAACATTTCAAGGAATGCTATTGTATTCCAGAGCAGAATCAGAGTAAAAGAACACCCGTGAAAGAGTTAAACATGGGAAGGAAGTAATATACACTCAAACAGAATTACAGCAGAGAGCGCTTTTTTAAAAACCTTACTCTAAAGTGTTTTATTAAGTGGCCAGGGAGGTTACTGGGAAATTTATGACAAAATCCAATGCATGTTGTTAAGCAATCAGACAAACTTCCTGAACTGCAGAAAGAAACCTATAAGTTTTCACCTTCAGTTTCAATACCATTAAGCTGGTTGTGCGTATCCTGTGACAAAATATGTCTATACTTAGAGTATTTGCACATACTGTTGCATTTATAAAAATCAGACGTAAGGAACTGGATGTCTTTATGTACTCTGAAATGACGGATGGGCTTTAACTACCTTTCCCCTTCCCCAAAGCTATCAGGCTGCACAATGTGCCATGTAAGCCAACAAGAAATAGTATTATTGTTCCACTACTAAGGGAATATCCAAAGTTAATGTGAACTGGGAGAGGTATTAGCATTCTTTGCTGAAAATAATTTCCAAAACTATCAAGCACCTCAGCAGCCCTTTCATCTCCAGGAGGGAAGGTTTTTTTTATCTCTTGTTACATACTTCCTGAAGCCAGTTCTTGCTCTGCAATGCAAAGTTTCATAAACCCAACAGAATCAGCCCCTTCAGGATCTCCACTGCATTGTATGGAATTCTTGGGTGGCATTAGACCTACAGATTGGATGTCCCTTGTCTGGGACCCTGGGGATCTGTGCGGTCCCAGATGAGGGATTTTGCCAGAACAAGGGAGGTCATTTCTGGACCCCTGCCACTGGCCTCCCTGGCCCAGCCTACTGGCCACAATGGAGCTCTGGGACTCACCGGGAAGCTGCATGCTGCAGATCTCTGTTCCACCAAGCTACTGCAGCTCCCAGACGTGCTGGGCAGCAATGCGCAGGGTCTTCCAACCCAGCTGGGCATCCCCGCTGCCATGCGCTGGGTGGGCCAGCACGGATCCTTGCTGCTGGTCCTCCAACTCTGGTCCTGCAACACCCCTGCCAGATCATGGATGTTGCTGGACCAGAGAATCCTGGTTAAGAGAGTTTCAACCTGTATTTCCTGGGGGGGCTGACAGGCTTGCAGGTTCCTTGGGCAAGGTGCAGTGGGGTAGTTCCACACTCCTAAAAGGGGTGGGACCTCAGGCAGAAGGGGTGGAGGTAGAGGCAGACTGCCTTCTGTGCTGCCTGCAACACACCATGCTGCCCTTCTACCCCTAGTCAGCCCTGAGAGTCTCCCAGAGCATACTGCATGGTTTTCCAGCAGCAAATTAAAGGGCTCAGGTCTCCAGCCACCATTGCTCCTGCAGCAGTGGTTGGGAGCCCCAGGCCCTTGGGAATTGCCAGGCCCTGGGGAAAATAAGCCCCTTTCTCCCTCCCCCAGCAGTGGACCTGGCTATTTCACCTCTCCTCCCTGGGATTAATGGAGGGAGTGTAACAAGAGGAAGGAGGGCTTGGCTAGGATGTTCCCATGCCCCAGCCAACTGTAAGTATAAGGTCCACTCCCAGAGTTTGTTGGCAGCCTGAAAGCTATTCTATTTTACTCTGGTGACTGGCCCTGTGCAAAACACCATCGGGACTGGAGGAACTGGCAAAGTGTCTTCAAACTACCTTTGTGCCCCCCTTTCTTAGTGTGATAAGCAGAATAAAAAGGCATAGATGGGGAAGGGTCTATTCCCCAGAAAAGAAACTGAAAGCATCTGAGAGGGGCATGGGTGAGGAATGCCATGGATCTTTTGACCATTTTTGCTGATTATATATGTGCGTGTCTCTGTGTGTGTGTGCAGGTGCGCGCACACCGACACTATTAGAGACTACAGTCCTCTGTTTATCCATATATGAGGTACAGCAAAGGCAGTTGGGATGTAAACTCCCGTTTAAAATGTTAACTGGTTAAATTATATGTTTAATCATCTAATTGGCATGTCACAGTGGGCCCAGCTGGGCTGGAGCACCCCCTACTCTCGCTGCAGGGGGGAAGCTTCCCCAGTAAGCAAAACAGTAAGGCAGTGGTTAACCCTTTGTATCCCTAATAGGCAGTAGCATGGCAGGATTCTTCAAACAATCCAAGCAATCTGCCTCAAAAGTGATGCTGGGGAGGATAACTCTCTAATCTTTGTAACTGGCCTCTCTGCTGAGACTGCCAGCAAAGATACTAGATCTCTGCCAAGTGCAGTGGCGACTTTAATGTCAGCACTTTTCCAGTGACCTCTACATTAATGCCATCAACTCATTTCTCAATTTAATTCCTTTTTCAGCAGCACAATGCTGTGATCTGTCCAGCATTTTCCATATTTGCTTGGAATTCATCTTTCAACTTTCTTTTAGAAGAGGAAACAGGAAACAAAAAAGCAAATAATGTAACAATCCCATATTTCTGCTGACCCAACACACAACTTTTCTAAAGACCGGAAAAATATTTTCCTGCATTTTAAAGAAACACAGAAAATCCATTGGGTTTGCTATGACTGAGCTGATTGCAGCTAAAAACATAATTAGGCAAAGCTTATAGAAAATCTACAATATTACTGATCCACATTCAAGTCTCAGAACATGCAAAGAGAATAAATGTCCTTTAAACAAACTTATTTTGAAAAACATAGGTCAAGAGCTGGAGCATTATGTCCATTCAGGCAATGAAAATCTTCACTCCAGGAAAGGAATCCCAAAGTCACTACTCAAGTAAATCCTCCATTCTCTGCGGAATGGACTTCAATATTGGCCTAACAAGAAAAGAAAAAAAGATCAATTGCAAATGAATAATGTTTCTAAAATGTTTGTGTCTAGTTTCAGAGTGACACATTATATTAATTATATTATATTAATAGCTATGAGAACTTTACTTGCACAAGATCTCTAAGGCTACATCTAGACTGAAAGCTTCTTTTGGAAGAAGCTTTTCCCAAAGAGATCTTCTGGAAAATCTTTTTTCGAAAGAGAGCGTCTATGCAGCAAAAGCACAATGAAAAAGTGATGTGCTTTTTCAAAAGATAACGTCTACATTGATTGGATGGTATCTTGCCTTTCAGTTGTGATTACTATTGATGGAGTGGCCACCAGGGCACCTGTGCTTTTTCCTGGAGGCCTCTTCTTTAAAAAACAAAAAAAAAAAACAAAAAAACAAAAAAACCCCACACACCTCTCTATTGCATCCACACACGTCTTTTTCTGAAAAAGCTTTTTCAGAAAAAGGCTCCTTCCTTGTAGAAAGAGGTTTACTGCTGTCGGAAATCCCCTCCATTTTTTGATTTTCTGACAAAAGAACGCAATAGCAGTGTGGAAGTAAGGGTAGTTTTTCCAGAAAAACAGTTGTTTTTCTGGAAAAACTCTGCAGGGTAGACATACCCTCACTCTCTCAAATGCTAGGGGCAAAGCTCATTTTGGAAATGATCAAAACAATCTAGGGCATGACTCCTTTACTATGTACT